GGGCTGTTTTGATGGATGAAAGGCTGGTTGGAGGGATGGCTGATTGCTTGGAAGGGTGATGAGATGAATGGATAGCTGGCTGTGTGAATGCAAGGGATTATTGAGAGGGGCTAGACAGGATGAGCGAATAGATAGATGAGCAAATGAATAGCTAGATGGCTGGTTGAAGTGATGACTGGTTGGAGTGATGGATTGCTTGGCGTCCTGGCTGAACTTATGGAGGGCTGTTTTGATGGATGAAAGGCTGGTTGGAGGGATGGCTGATTGCTTGGAAGGGTGAATAGATGAATGGATAGATAGCTGGATGGACGGATGGATAGATGGATGAGATGATGAAAGAATGGCTGGATGGTTGTATCTCTTGATAAAAGAATAGCTCGATGAATGTATATATGGCTTGCTGGATGCATGCTTAGATGAATTTGCCAAATAGGGAACAATTGACTCGATGGCTGGTTGGATGGATAGATGCTTGTTTGTATAAGTTGATGGCTAGATCGCTTGATGAATGAATGGCTGGTAGGATGGATGATTTGTTAAATGGATGGCTTGATGAATGGATGGTCATAGAAATAGACCGGATAATAAATGGGTGGCCTAATGGCTCGTTCAATCGATGGATTTTTTGATGATAAACGCTTGATCGATGGGTTTATAGCTTGATTGTTGAACTGCTAGTCGGGAAGAAAGCTAACTGGAGAGCCGGCTTGTTGGATTTATAGATGACTAATTGAATCCGAGAACACTGAAGGGATCTTAGCAGTCAGATTTGGAGGCAACATCTGCAAACTTTGTGAGTAACTTCACATCAAACCGCCATGGTGTCGAAAATTTTAAAATTTGAAACGAAATGTTTTATCTGGGTTTTTTGAATTTCTCCAAAGGTAAAAAACAACTCATTTTGAAAAATTAAAAGAATTAAGCAATCATCACATGTAGGCCATATCTCCAACTGCTAAGAAAACCCTGAAAATACGCCCCCTGACATTTGAGCAATCATATTTACTAAGCAATCATCGCATGTACGCCATATCTGCAACTGCTAGGAAAACCCTGACATCACGCCACATGGCTGGTTGAATTGATGATTAGAAAGAATGATGGAATGCTTGGAGTACTGGCTGAATATATGGAGGGCTGTTTTGATGGATGAAAGGCTGGTTGGAGGGATGGCTGATTGCTTGGAAGGGTGATGAGATGAAAGGATAGCTGGCTGTGTGAATGCATTGAGAGGGGCTAGACAGGATGAGCGAATAGATAGATGAGCAAATGAATAGCTAGATGGCTGGTTGAAGTGATGACTGGTTGGAGTGATGGATTGCTTGGCGTCCTGGCTGAACTTATGGAGGGCTGTTTTGATGGATGAAAGGCTGGTTGGAGGGATGGCTGATTGCTTGGAAGGGTGAATAGATGAATGGATAGATAGCTGGATGGACGGATGGATAGATGGATGAGATGATGAAAGAATGGCTGGATGGTTGTATCTCTTGATAAAAGAATAGCTCGATGAATGTATATATGGCTTGCTGGATGCATGCTTAGCTGAATTTGCCAAATAGGGAACAATTGACTCGATGGCTGGTTGGATGGATAGATGCTTGTTTGTATAAGTTGATGGCTAGATCGCTTGATGAATGAATGGCTGGTAGGATGGATGATTTGTTAAATGGATGGCTTGATGAATGGATGGTCATAGAAATAGACCGGATTATAAATGGCTGGCCTAATGGCTGGTTCGATCGATGGATTGTTTGATGATAAACGCTTGATCGATGGGTTTATAGCTTGACCGATGAACTGCTAGTCGGGAGGAAAGCTATCTGGAGAGACGGCTTGTTGGAGTTTTAGATGACTAATTGAATCTGAGAACACTGAAGGGATCTGACCATTCATATTTAGAAGCAATATCTGTAACTTTTGTAGTTAACTTCACACACACCGCCATAGTGCCAAATTGTTCAAAATTTGAAAGAAAAAATTTAATCTGAGTTTTTTATGATTTTTATCCACAAAATAAAAATGACTTTTTTCAAAAGCTGAAAAAAATTAAGCAATCATTGTATGTAGGCCATATCTTCAACTGGTAGGAAAACCCTGACATCACGCCTCCCTGACATTTGAGCAGTCATATTTTTTAAGCAACCATCGTATGTAGGCCATATCTGCAACTGCTAGGAAAACCCTGACATCACGCCTCATCGCTGGTTGCACTGATGACCTCATGAATTGATCGAGGGCTGTTTCGATGGATGGAAGGCTGGTTGGATGGATGGCTGATTGGTTGGAAGGGCAAATAGATGAATGGATAGATAACTGGATAGACGGATGGATAGAAGGATGACATGATAAAAGAATGGCTACATGGCTGGATTGCTTGATAAAAGAATAGCTCAATGGATGGCCAGATGGCTTGCTGGATGCATGGTTACATGAATTTGCCAACTAATGAATTATTGGTTTGATGGCTGGTTGGATGGATGGATGCTTGTTTGTATAAATCGATGGCTAGATCGCTTGATGATTGAATGGCTGGTTGAATGGATGATTTGTTAGATGGATGATTTGATGGATGGATGGTCATAGGGATAGACCAATTAAAAAATGAGTGGCCTGATGGCTGGTTCGATCGATGGATCGTTTGATGATAAAGGCTTGGTCGATGGGTTTATAGCTTGATTGATGAATTGCCAGTCGGGAGGGAAGCTAACTGGAGAGACGACTTGTTGGAGTTATAGATGGCCAATTGAATCCGAGAACATTGAAAGGATCTGAGCAGTCAGATTTAGAAGCAACAACTGAAAATTTTGTGAGTTACTTTTTATCACACCGCCATGATGTTAAAATTTTTTTGAAATTTGAAAGAAACATTTAATCTGAATTTTTTCAAAACTTTTATAATAATAAAAAACAACTAATTTCAAAAATTTAAGAGAATTAAGCAATCATCGTCTGTAGGCCATATCTGCAAGTGCTAGGAAAACCCTGGCATCACGCCACCAACACATTGACATCTTCTAATATTGAAAAAATTGTTTGTTAATGTTTGAAGAATTTAAGTTTTTAGTTTTGAAAAATTATATAAACGCCATATCTCGGAAGCTAATAGATTAGTTTGGAGGCATGACTTGCAACCGTTGAAAGCATGCTGAAAAAACAACACTATTGGGCTCAGAACTTACCAGGGGCTCGGAACTTAAATGGGGCTGGGAAGTAAACTGATTCGAGCAGGCGTATTTGAAGGCAACGTTTGCAACCCCTTAGAGTACCTTGACAGAAGCCAACTTTAGGGTTCAGAATTTCAAATTTCTTCAAATGTTTTAAATCTGCTTTTTAAAAAAATACATTTAAAAAACATGAAAAACGAAATATTGCGGAAATTTAAAGGACTTGAGCAGGCATATTTGGAGGCGAAATTTGCAGCTCTTTAGAGTACTCTAACAGCACAGCAACATAGGTTTGGGATTTTCAATTTTGTGAAGGTTTTTTTAAAAAATTTCACAAAAAACGGCATATCTCGCAAACTAAAAAGATTTAGATATTCAAGTTAGTAGGCCAATTTTGCAACCCTTGAGACCACCGTGACAGCACCTCAACATAGAATAGCTATTTTCCAACTTGTTGAAATAAACGCCGAATCGAAAAACGCCCGTTATATCATGTATAGATAGATGAATCCAACCTTTACATTACACTGCGCTGCACTACTCCTTACCTACCATGCTGGCATCATTGCTAAAGCTCAAGAATCTGGCTTTTCAGGCCTAGCATTCATAAACTGTTAATCGAAAAAATCTTATGCATTGCAACATACGATATAGCTTAAACGTGCAAAAATTCTTTCGTTAAACATGCAAAATTGAAAACGCTTAAGCATGGGGAGATAGCTGTCACACGCATTTAATTATAGTATAAACTAAGCAGGTTAAAAAGAAATAATCACTGAGGCAAAACCGGACTCGGCGATCACAAACAAAATACGGCAAAATAGCTTCTGAAAATGCAAAAAAATAAGGCTTGCAGTGAAATCAACTTGAAAAAGTAACAAACAATACAGGATCATTCGAGTCAGTGAAATGATCTTGACCAACTAGCTTGCCTCAGTTTCAGACTGATTCGATCTCCCTTAAATTTGGATAAATTTGCCGCGCGCAAATAAGCGGCGGTTACGGTTCAAAAAAAATTCAAGAAATTGCGTATGATTTATTCTAGTATATTGACAAATTGCTGGGAATCACACCACAAAGTTGCAGATTAAGTTCATCTTGCATTTGACTTCGGGGTTTCTATATCTCCGAAAAAGTTAAGGAAAGTTCCTTTAAAAACTATTTTTTTCATAAAGCTTGCACAAAACGTTTGCGACTTTCGATGCAAAAAAGTGGACTGACTGTATAAAACTTACGTCGCAATCTTGCTTGTGTAATTAAGAGGTCAGTTCCTCATCATTTTTTTTCTTATTTGGTCTAAAAAAAATGGAAAATTGTGTACAATTTTTCTCTCGGTACACTTTGATTTCCGGGACAATCCGCATCAGGACAAAAAAGGCCCCGATGCGAGCTTTCTTTGAGGTAGTCAAAAGCTGCCGAAAACTATCGCGATACCCAATATTTCCTTCCAGTCACTTCAAGTGACTTGGTGAAAACATTTACTAGTGTTATGCGATGCAGCAAAAACTAGATTAATTATTATGACAGAATATTTAGCGTAACTTAATCCCATTTTTCAATCAAAACGAAATAAAATGTTTGCTTCCTTGAACGCAGAATACTGACTAAATTAAAGTAGATCAGCTACGTGGAATGACCAAAAATATCCTTAATTAGTTGAAAAACTGCAACCAAAAATCATCTTGTTAAGACGTCATTTTCTTGATACGCTGGGTTGAAAAATTTTTCGAGTTATTTCGATACGTGTTGAACTTCATTGTCGTTTAATCCCATTAGTTTTAAGGGGTCTCAACTAGAACGGAATTTTTAATTCACATAATTTCTGTTGTATTACAGATGATTCGTACGAAGCCAAGTACCTCAAGCGTTCTTCAGTTGAGCATCTGCGTCACGAGGTGAGCTTAATCGGAAAAGCGATGACCGATCTCGTTTCCTCCAGCGAGAGTGAGCCGGACAGTGATGCAGACACTATAAAACTGGTTCGAGAAGTTACCTCCCGGATGTCAACTCGAATGTCACACAGAAGCGACGACGAGGAAAACAGCGACGACGAACAGGCAGATATCACGACGGCACGTGGCGAAAAGAAGAGAAAGCGCCGCTTCGTCAAACAGATGTTCAAGAAACAATATCTAGAGAACTTGTAGAATTTTGAAAGACTTGGAGGAAATCTGACTATTGACTAAAAGTCGTGCACAATTCACAATTTGGATTCACAGCACACCGACTTAGGCACATTGCTGTCACTGTTCTCGAAGACTTTGAAGAATTATTGAATATCTAGATTTTGTATAATTTGTGACTGATTGTACATCATATTCAAATTTTAATATAAAAAATTCACTTGTGTGTAAAAATTTAAAAAATGCATTCCTTGTCTTGGGTTTTTTCAGATGATCATCCAAAAAAAAGAAACCATAATTTTGAAACAAGGCTATTTGTCTGCTTTTCAGTGGCTTAAAACTTCTGATTTTAGTGAAAAGTTTTCCATCAACTGCAGCAGATAAACTTATTCAAATTATCGGAAACAAGAAGAAAAATCTAATTTAATTTTTTGTTTAGGATTCAAAATTGTGTAATGCGCTATTAAGATTACACAATAAAAACTGAAATAATTTATTATAATTAATTAGATGTGAAAAATAGCCTACCTACAGTTAGAAAAGCTTCCACATCCAATCACAAATACCTAACAATTAACGAATGATGTTTTACTGATTCCACCCGTTCATTATTTCCAAAAATTTCTACAATGCGATTGACACTTTTGTGATATAAACCCTCTTTCAGAATATCACGTCAAATGGCTCACTTTTACATGTATTTTTTGAAATGTTTTGAAACTGAACATTCAAATGTAGCTTTTACAGAGCTTAATTTGAGCTTCATTTAGAAATTGAGCTTCCAACACAGCCAAGAAAGCTGAGGTTCGACCATTGGCGATACCACATAAAAATAGCATTACAAGCTAGTAGACAGAAAAAGAAACGAGAGCCACTTAAGAAAAAATTTGAAAAAAAAAAATAAAAATTGTTGTCATGAAAAACAACAACTAAAAACTTGCCATAAAAAACTTGAAACAATCAGTTCTAATCTAAGATCTTAATCAATTTGTTCGATCCGGAGTGGAACCCAAAGTTGCATTTTTCTCAAAACTATCCAACATTAGGTCAATTAGACAATAAAATATAAGTCGAAATCATTTTTCAGCGCAAAAAAAGGAAAATCTTCAAAATCAAGGCTTGAACACTTACAAATCAAGTTAATCAAAACGCTACGAGCAACTGAAAAAAAGGCGTACAGCAAAAAATTCTAAAATGTGGCAACTTAGCCGAAAAAACAAAAGCACACTATTAATAGGCCGAGAGTTTTTATTGAAACTAAATATTTACCGTAAAAAAATCAGATTCGGACGCAGAATTTTTGCTGTCCCAGGTGTATTCGTTACCTCCAGACCAAGTGAACCGGAGACCCTGAAGAACTTGAGCTCATTATGAGCCAAGCTCATTACAAGGCCAAACTGTGCACTTGATAGGCGCACAATTTTGTGTCTGTATGTTCCTGGATTCCAGAGACAAGTCTCTAAACATGTTCCAAAATGTAAGTAGATTCCGCTTACAACATTTCAGTGTATTTCGCGTAAAAATAGATATAACGTAAGCTTTGTCGGCACATTGATTTTTTTTGCGAATTCCGCAACGAGCGAATATAGGTAGTTGTTCCGGATTCAGCAAATGTAAGCAAATTCCGCAAATGTAAGTTGATTCTTCACATTTATGCGGATTCCGCTCACAATTTGCAGATTCCGCTTACAATTTGCGGATTTCGCTTACAATTTGCGAAATCCGCTTACAATTTGTGGATTATGCTTACAATTTGCGGATTCCACTTACAGTTGTGGAATCCGCGACAGCTTAAGTTTACTTAACACATATATTATTATTTGTTCACGGATTCCACAAACTGGTTCCGGATTCCACACATTTTGTTGCGGATTCCGCAAAATTGCATGTTTTTGGAGCAAGCAATTTTGAGCAATACGGTGTTTTAGCTATTAGTCCGTAGAATCCAAAACAGCAGAGAAGATCAAAGAAAAGGAGCAATGTTGCGGATTCCGCGACAAATCTGATTTTTGCCTGTTGCGGAATTTGCTTACAATTCACAAAATGCACAGTTTAGCTTCGTAACGATACCAAATGATTCTGTTAACAAGTTGTTACCTAGAAAAAGACGATTTGATAACGCTGGCTGATCGCAAGCGTAAATTTATTACAAATCGAACCGTCAAATTAATAACTGAGCGTAAACTTTTGCTGAAATAAACCAAAAAAGGACAAAAAATGAAATTCGCTTTGTGAATTAACACTTTTAACACAGAGGCGATTCGATTTGTAATATACTAAACACTAGCGCAAACACTCGCGAGAACACAACAAAAAGCTGCTCTTAAAATGCAATTAAAATGGTAAAAACGAGTCTCAAATGAGTAAAAAAAGATCAGAATATAAGTCTCATGCAATATCCACTCAGCCAAGGACGGCTAACTCACAAACATTAGCCACAAATAAAGCAGAGATTAAACGCAATGAAATTTCCAAATCTACATATCGTGATTATAGCAAAATGCCACCAAATAGGTGAGCACCTTTATTTATGAGTTAGGTTAGAAAAAATGAAAATTCGTGCTATTACTACGCTGCTCGCAAAAGATAGCAACTATTGATCAGTTTTGTTTGCGTTATTGAAAACAAAAGCCAGACTTATGTTTTCAATATCCTGACAAAGTTTTCGAAAAATACTGCAATCGACAAAACGACTGAAAGAGTTTTAGTCTAATGAAACACTTATTTTTAAAACATGGATTTCCATAAAGCAAATTTTTCTAAAAACACGACCAGAAGTAAAATTATTGGTGGCACCAGCCAAATTTTTTCTTTGTTTGTCGTTTCGACTTTTGCGACAAGCAAGGGTATTACAAACGAGTGTGAAAGTTTTGTCCTAAGAGTTCGCACATCACCTCGCTTCATGTATCTGACTAGGAATTCTATCAAATTCAAGCTAATGAAGTTGTTTTTGAGGTGGTACGAAATTTTGAAAACGTTACGGCATTGAGAATACATAAACAAGTTACGTGGCAACTCTGTGGGCAAAGTTTTTAACGGGGAAAAAGTATTCAAACCGACTCCAATGCTCTTGCTTATCGCAAAGTAAAAACTACAATTAAGCGCCTGAGTAAAGTTGGCTTTGATTTGAATGTAACTAAAAACGTTCAAACGTGTTCAATTTTCCACACCGACATGTTTCAGTATGACTTCAAACCGATGCCAAAACACTATTTGACGTGAGCCACCCTTGCCTTTGACTTCGTGATTTGTTCAAAACAAGGAGGGTAATGAATTAAAAGAATTTCAAAGCAGAAACCACCAACTTTCTTTATGATGAGTTCAAGTTATCCCAATTGTTTTTCCCAGCTTCTTGCGGTGCGTATTCGGTCCGCGTACAAGTGATTCTTTCTGCTTTTTTTTTCAATTTCAATCAATTGTTTTAAAAAAGTATATTGAGATTTTTTTCAGCTTAACGGAAAAACTTGATTTATTATAATGGTGCATAGGGAATATTGGGCGTTACTGGCACTCCGAAATTTTTCTGAAATTGTAGCAGCGGTTTTCTCTTATATTGTCCATCTTCCAACAAAATCCATTTTGAGTCTCATCGTTCCGTGCAACTTCGTTTTCCAAAACGGTTAAGTCTGGCAGGGTGACTGACAATGGAAAAAAGATTAGCCACATGCTTGGTAAAGGGATTCAATAATAAGATTCAGTTGAAAAGGGACAAAATGTAGGAATTTAGTTAGTCTAATTAAACCTTGCTCTAGTTTGACATTTCCCATATTTTTCCTAAACACTACATAACATGTAACACTACAGTCACGTACAAGAATAGTTGGTGCAATTTGATTATATGAAATATTTGAAAATAAAATCCTTTCACTTTTTGAAAACGAATGAAAAGTGATAAGCTTTGTTGTGAAATGTTTTTCATTTGATAAGGAGGAAAATATGATATCTACTCAAATGAAAAACATTTCAAAACAAAGTTTATCAGTTTTCATTAAATTTCAGAAAAACTATAACTCTCAAATCAAAATTTTAAGGACATTTACAACGGCGCGGCAGTTATCGAAAGAATCCAGAGAAATTGCTACAAGACTAAAGAGCAAGAGCTGCATGGTAACCAAAATTGCTGATACTTTGAATTGGTCAAGGGTTACAACCCCCTAAAGTATTAAGAAGAAAGCAAACAACAGGACTGTCAAAGCAGCGTTATAGGGACTGCAAAACAGCGTTACGGGAGAAAACCAAAATGATCTGATCGTGGAGTTTAAAAAACATTAAAACTGTCGCCAAAGCCCAGCTGAAAATTTACAAAATCTTGATGATGTTTACAGCAAGAACTCCTGATCAAGTTCACAATAGAATAAGAAATTATATCTCGCGGTCAGAATATGTCCGCCGAAATTTAACACAATCTACAGCGATTTCCGCAACAAACCGGAAACTGCAGACTGTTTGGTGCAGAACTCGATTAAGCTGGAACTTCTTACAATTGACACCCTTTATTTTTGCCGAAGAATGCCAGGTTGCGATAAACAATCAAAAAAAAATTACGTATTTGGCGTCCAGAACTCAAGCTAATTGCTATCAAAATTGCTTTACGAAAAAATAGAGCAAATTTTTTTTTATGATATCGGCGAGTGAACCTATCATGGAGCCAGAAAGAAATTCAGGATAAGTTAATGCAGAGAAGTTTATCGATACCCTACATTTCTGTTTACCCACAAAATTGAACTCTTTTTGTGGCAATGAATATGTATTTAAACAGGACCATGTGTCTATTCACACAGTAAGTAAATCGCACCGGTATTGCTGGAGAAACAACATAAACCGGACCACTTGGCCAGCTCGATCATCTGACCTAAAAATCATAGAAATTATATGGCTCGATTGAAAAGAAAACTGAAAGTAGAAGTTGCTTCTGAAGCTTTTGGTGAACAACTATTTAATTTGTTCGAAAATTTGTTTCTGGAATACACGACCGAGAAGATCCAAGATTGTATGACAGCCTGCCTTAAATAATTAATGAAGTCAGCAAGTTGAATGGATAGATCACTAAGTTTTAATTTTATAAAATTATTTCTTCATCTTTTTCTGTTTCTTTAAATTTATTTTCGATTCAAAAAAAAAATATTGGTTCAATTCAAAACTGCACCAAATATTTTTGTACATGACTGTAGAATATTTACTTTAAAAATTTTTGAAAAAAAAGAGTTTTTTCCGGAATTCTGGGGTGACATTTCGGAAAAGAACTCAGCTGAAAAAATTAAGTTAGAAACCAGAATAATCATAAAGTTTTATAATGATAAAATAAAAACTGGTTTTCTATGAAGATCATACAAAAAACAAGATAAAAAATGGGGGAAAATCACATTTTAATTGTTAATGCTTAATCATACTTGGGGCTAAGTTGTACGAATAAGAGAAAAAAGTCAAAAACTTGCAGTAAAAGTGTGTGGTGAGTGCGTTTTCAGTTTCAGACTAACTCAGAAGAAAGACAAATGATGCATGTTGAAATATTCTTGATAAAAAAGGGAGACAAAGCAGGAATGATTTTAAGAGAACTTTCTTCGTAATTTTGAATGAGATCAAAAAATTTATTTAGTTTTTTTTGTGCGGGTCGTTAAGTAGTTAAGAGGTCATTGTCCTGTGAGAGTTAGATCCTTATCACGCGGTTGTTAAAAAGAAAAGAATCGGTAAATGCAACTTGGATTTCCTGTGCGGATAATATCTACGGGAACACGTTATAAAAGGAATGAGTCATGAGGTTTAGAAGAAGCAGACTGGGTAATGAATTTTCGCCCTATTTGAGTAAAAGAGAGTTGTTGAATGTTTGAAAAAGGGAGCGTCCCTTTGGCGAGTTCAACACAAGAAATAGGAAAAACGAGATAGAAAAAAAAACAGCTCTATAAATTCTGGCAACAAAATGTAAAACATTTTCGAAACCGTTTCGACTGTCTCATCTGGAACAAATTGATAGATCGTCATATACTCTGGTGTGAGTTTTTGCTTGGTTAATGTTAAATTTTCTCAGAAGACAAAAGTGCAAAAAAAGCAATTTGAATCAAGTAACTTGAGCCGTAACAATATTTTGATTGTTTCTTTAGGATTCTGTCCAAATTGAAAGGTAACGCATTGGATACTCAAAATAATGTTCTATATTATAAACGGCAAAAATTCAAAGATGTGTTTTAATAGCCGTTCTCTAGCCAAATTGTCGGAGGATCAATACAAAAACAGTGATGCAGTTCAGATGAAAATTATTAAAAGGAATTGAGCTTTTGTTTTACTCTCATCCGAGGTAGGATAGATATCTTCGAAAAAATTTATGAGTTGAGTTTCGCTGCTGCACAGGTTGGAAAAAAACGGACTTCTAGTTGTCCATATTGCTAGCAATCTTCGACTGTCTCAGATTATTTTTCACCGACAAAATAATCTTTAAAAATAGCCATCAACATCAGAAGAACCCAATAGCAAAATATTCTGAAATGATTCCATTCCACAAGCCAGGAAGGGAATTATAATCTCGTTCTCGTTTGAATGAAGATCGACGTTTTTTACCGCTCTGTGCGTAGCCGCAATATGTTGAAATTGCATAAAATTATGGAACACTGTTGTCTTCTTAGCCCTTGCTGGCAATTTTTTGAGATTATAAAAAGCGCAATTTATTTGCATCATTTTTGAAATCGCAAAATTGAATTTTTCAGCGAATAATCGAGCAGAGATCTTCAACCGTAACGTTGTATTCTCATCCTAAGGAGACCGGACTTAGTGGAAAAACAGCTTATTCAGTTGCGACTTTTTCTTTTCTGAAAAATGATCAAAAGTTTTTGTAATAGTCAATTGGTTGTTTGTAACTGGAGTAGTTTGATTTTATTCAGCAAACGAATACAACGTGAAAAAAAAACGGAGAAAAGCAAGTTAATCGTGATCAATTTTTGACTTCTTCCTGAAAAAAAACATCCTTATTCGCTCAGTGACATTTCAAATAAATTCTGAAAGGTAAATAAACTGATGTCATGATTGCAAGGAAACAACGAAAATTGACTGTTTTTTTTCTGAAAAAAAAATCAACTTTCGACAGTCAAAGAAAAATTTTTATGATCTTAAGGCTCTTTGAATTTCAAGTTATGATTCACACTTTTTGATTTGAAAAAAAAATCAACCCATTCTGAGAAAACTGGACCAATAGATATATTTTTTTTATTTCGCTGCGAAATCTGAAAATTATATTCCTCTTTCGAAACTAGAAATCGATCACGTTTTCGGTGACTTTTACACTTTTTCTGTTTGATAGAAGAGTTTGAGTTCTTTCTAGCAAAGGAACAGAACAGAACTTTAAAATAAAAGAAATTCAGGCCGCAAAATATCAAATCTGAGCCTGAACAAATTTAAGGACTTAAACCTGAAAAAAATTAAGATTTTATAAGAGTATTCACTACGTTCATTTACATGCGAAAAAGTACTCTGGAAATTTAAAAAAAGTTTAGCCCAGCTGCATGTTTAGAAACATAGATCTGTAGATTAAGCATTAGTAGTTTTCCTTCCCATCTATATTGCTATCTCACACCCTTATATTGTAGATACCAAGCAGTACGATATGCATCACTAAAGCGGATAAAACACATGCTACTGAACAGCTCAGTATACAAATACATTGAAATTAAACACAATGTGCAACATAGGTTGAATAACAATGAAAGCATTTGCATATCTGTTGGCTGAATTGAAAGTAAAACATCTGGTAAGACTTTGTGGTTGTTCAAAAACTAACAGTTTGTCGATATGGAATTTGCACAAACAACAGAAACGAAACATGAAATTTTTTGCTTCTATTACATTATTATAAGCATTCTTGTTTTAGCTTATACATAGTTTCTGAACTTCTCAGGATAGAATCCAAAAACATTCAATTTTTATCACTGAATTAAAAGAAAATTTTAAATAAATTTGTTATACAGTATTTTGACGATAATCGCTTTTACAAAATTGTGCAAGATAGATTTCTGTGAACACAAATAACTGATTATGTCTCCATACATATAACTTCACGCCTCTTTTGGACTCTCAAGGGGAACGGCATTTTGTGCCTGCGGGAACTGCTGCATGTACGCATTGTATATGTCCATAGGGTTCAGTCCACGTGACTTCATGTAGGCTTTCACTTGTTTAGGGACCTCCGCCAGTACTGTTTTCGCCAATCTATGTTGGTTCTGAGCAATGTACGCAGGGTCAGACGTATTTCCGAAAATATCTCTCAAGGGCACGAACTGAAAACGAAACCTATCATTTCGTTGATTATTTTAGCTTGTTTGTTCGACAAGCTATTGTTTTGCATAATGTTCGATTCATGCTGGGAGTAAAACTGCAGGCATTCATGCAAAAATCATAGAATTTGTTCAACATCTTTTTTGATCAAAATGATCTCCGCGTCGTAATCTGTATTTCATTTGATTGTTTTTTTTTTCAACTTCTGGTGGGGCTCCAGCATATGAAAAACGAATAAGTCCGAATAACATAGTCTTTATCTCTTATAGAGGGTACCTGTACAATGTCCCGCTTTGCCTTCTTCCCGTTGTAATCCTCGAGAGCCTTCTTGTCTGAGTCCAGTTCTTCCATGGAATCGAAGTCCGCAATGCCGACACCCACTATTATGATAGAAATAGGATACTTGGACGCCTATGCAAAAAGTTCGTTCTAATTTTGATTTCAAAAGACAGATTCAAACCTAAAAACGTCACTTCCAATCTTATTTTCCGAAGATATGTCAAAAACATGCAACTTGAACGATATCAGAACCAAGCGTTTTTTTGCTGTATATTTTATAGATTCTTATTGGAGATTTTACCTGATAAAAAACTACAGAAATACACAAATGGGTGTAACTTCAAAAAATACCTCTACAATAGCTGCTTTAGTCTTGTCCATGTCCGTGATAGCTCCGTCGGTGATAATGAGGAGGATAAAATAGTTCAAACCAGACTGGAACTGAGATGCATTACTAAACATGATAAAACAAATAAAAGAGATTACCGGATCCGACCTGATCTATACCGCAACCGTTCTTTCTCCAGACGGACACAAAGAATAGCTTCCAGTCACTTGCAATTCATAAATGTCTACGAAAATCGGCAAAATCGGATTTTACATACACTTCAAGACAGCAAACAATACCTTCCCCATAATTTTTGAATCTAATGAAAAAAGTATCTTTTGATAAACTCGAAAAGAAATCGCCTGAGAGGATAAAAAAGGGCAACGATAGATTTTTTCAAAATAGATGATCAAATAAATTCTGTCGGGTGTTTTTTTTCAGACTGCAACAATCATCTGTTCAACTTTGATACGTGAAAGATGATATTTTGCTCGAAACTCGAATATGTCTACGAAAATCGCCAACTTCGGATTTTAAATTACACTTCAAGACGCTAAAACAAAGCTTAAAATGTTTACAAAATTGAGTTTAATACCAAATATTGCAAAAAAAAAATTCTGACCTACATAACTGCTTTAAATAACGTTTAAGAAGAGCACTCAATTCCTCTGATGAACTACTTGAATTTTTGAATGCACTTGCAAGTAAGCCAAGCAGATATTTGGCAGAAGAAAAATTTCGAAAGAAAACTAGGAGATTGAAGAAGGGGCGCACAAATGTTTGCCAAAACATAGTCTTTTTTAGCGTTTCAAGAGACCTCGGAAAATCAATTTGACCGACAAAAAAGTTGGACAACAATTCATACTTTTTTTGAAAACCTTCGAAAAAATCCTAGATCCATCCTTAAAAAACGCAACAAAAATATTACAACTACCGATAAAAACCATTCTACACAGAAGCGAATCAAAGCTTTGCACCAACTTCAAAACAAAATTGACACAGAAGCGGATGTAAAGTTTTAAAATGCAAAAAACCTCAAATTTTACATGAAATAATTTGGAGTGTAATAAACTAAAGGCCACCACACTTTGAATATAAAAACTTTGAATGTAATAAATAAATTCTATACACTAAGTTGCGTATAAATTATGCATTTTAAAAAAAACTCGCCAAAGAGAAGAATTTGGAAAATTTCTGAAATGGAATTTTAATTATCATACTGTTGAATGGAACAAATTGCTTTTTCTGGTCCAATAGATGAATTCAAAAAATCGTTAACTGAGTTAACTTATTATCAATCCAATGTCAAAGCACATTATTATCCTGCTCATTCAGCCTACTGATTCAAAAGTGCGACCAGAAGTTGCAAAATACTAACACACAACGCAACGCTCGTGTAATGAAAAACATAAGAAAAACTTATTCAATTCGCAAACTTCGAAAAAACTACAGAATAACCATTTGACAAAATCAATGAAAAAACATGCTGCAACCATAACTTTCATCCAGAACCTTCGAAACAAAAACATGAAATGAAAAAAAAACTGCAATATAATTAAAAACCCTTTATCGGCCAGAAAATTGTCCCGATTGATTCACATACAACCCCAGTTAAAACTAATAAAGAAACGTGAAATAATACCACAACAATCTTAGTGTTTGTCTTTCAAAATTTTAATCGCTGATTGTTCTTGCAAAAATTATTATTATGATATTGGAAGCAAACTACAAAGCACCACAGAAAATGCATATAGCGATAATCCTAGCTCCTCATGCTGCCAGTCTAATCAAAGGTTAACACAGAGGCAAAGCAAAGCTTCGCGCCACTTGAGATAAAATTGAGAAAAAAATCGAAAACAAAATATAAGCACAGAGGTGAAAAAATAAACTCAGATTCGAACCCGCGACCTTTGCCGTCCCAGGCATATTCAGTGCCTCTAGGCTCAGTCACCCAGTCACGCATAGAAGCTTGAATTGAATACGAACCAAGAAACAATTGAAATCTGTTGAACTAGTTGTTATCCCGAAAAAAGTCTATATTCCAGTTTGTTAACGCTTGCTAATCGCAAGCGTAACAATGCAATCACATATTTTCATTTAAATTGGTTTTATCAAAAAAGAATTCTTGACAAACATGGCAAGCAATATATTTCAGATTCAAGTTAGCAACTGAACAAAACTTAAGACGAAAATATTTGAGGACAGGGCCGACAATATTTGAGCAGACACCAGTTGAGCCGAAAAAAAAACTGATTTTCTATAAAAAAAAACTTTTAAAAGTTTCAAGTCCCCCCTGAAACTACCCAGTAGTAACCAGTACCCGCCCAGTTGTTAAATTTGAATTTTCATGAAACTGAGCATGTCAGCGGCATAGTGATTCATAAGTGCTGCATAGCCATAAGTGATTCAACTGATTTTGTTAAACTAGTTGTTAACCCAAAAATAACCTGTATTCCGATTTGAAAACGCTCTAATCGCAAGCGTTAAAAAATTTCGACTACAAAAATTTCATATGTTGATCTCTAATGTTATTCAATTTCAGGAAAACATCCGGTGATCAATAAGCATTCAGAGATAACTACCGAGCGTCAACTAATCAAGCTTTGATAAAGATCTTTTCTTTCTAGCAACGCAACATTAGCTAACTAAGCTAATATTACATGGAACGAAGACATGTATTTTTATTCGAGAGGTCAGAAAAAATAAACGCAAACGATAAGGCTGAAACTAACTAGATAGCGCAGTTGATCACTTCACTGAAGTTGGTTGGTCCAGACAATGCAGAAGAAGACAATGCGTATCGATATGCATCCAAAATTCCTTGCACCCCTTGAACGTTCGGGTTTTCCAGATTGTTGTTCTAAAATGTGTACGCAGACTGATGAGGACGTTAACTTGAAAATGTTCAAAAATTGAAACAATTAAATTAGCTAAAATTTATAGTTATTCTCTGAAAAAAGCATCATTTCCCATAACCGACTTCATACACTATTTTTACGCCAAATAAGTCGCTTTAACTTTAAAGGAAATTACGGTAGAGTTAAAATTTGCGAAATGAGCATTTTTGTTTCTATCATTCTATCATTACTGTCTCCCCTTCCCCTCAATTGTGGTTTCTCAGAAGGTTCCAAAGGATTACTTCTTTTAGTACTATTATACTACATCCACTTTTGCTTGATCTTCTTCAAAATTTTTCTAAAGACCTTTTTGACACAAATAAACCCAGGTTTTGAGGGAGGTGCATGTTTTGCATGTCTTCTCAATAAATTTTCTGCATCTTCAAAAATTTGGTGTCTTTTTGTTCCGAAGGCTTGACTATGTGAAAGGAACTATGCAGAGTGTGTTTTTCCGGCTAATTTTGACTACCTCTGAGAAAGCGTAAGGTATGCGTAGAGAAACTGCGGTATCGCATTATGGCCCTTTTGGCTGTGATTCGATTCTGAAACAAAATTCAAAATTTAGCAGACCGATATTAATCTACATTAGCCAAAAAACTCCAGCTTTTTTAAAAAAAAAACAGGTTTTGACTAGAATCGAACTCCTGTGCTTTGTTGTCTCAGGCATGGGTGTTAGAGAACCTTGGAAGAAAGCTGATTCTTCAAAAAAAGCTGAGCTGCGGAAACTTAGCCGACAAAAATAAGCGAATGGACGTTTGTCCAAAAAAGCACAAAAATTATAGGTTACAAAAGAAACAAGTCCTAGCCGGATTCGATCCTCAATATTTTGCCGTCTCAAGCAACTGTGTTACATCTACGGGTTATGCACCGGATGATTGATTGAACTTGAATTTATAGTTACCAAGCGGTAGAAAAGCCGAACAAAAAAAGCCGAGCAGTAGTCCTTCATGTCAAAAAAATTCAAAAAAAATGTAAAATAAAAAAAAATTGACAGTCCCGTTTCTCCTCAGAACACATACATGCACAAAAAAAATGTCGGTCCTAAAACGACGCAAAAAGAGGTCATTAGGTCGATATAGAATAAGCCGAAGCTTATTAAGCCGAAAAAAAGACAAAAAAAAGAGGAAAGAACGAAAGTTTAACAACGAAAATTCGGAAAACTTAACTTATCTACTTAATAAACTTGCCTTGCTCAACAAGGAGCAGCTAATAACACAAAAAGCGGCCGACATATTATCTTTTTTCAAACCCGACAAACATATCCTTGGGCGTTGTAATATGCCAGTTACACTTACGAGAGGGTAGCAGTGACTGGTGCGCTGCTGGCTGAAGAAACAGCCACCGAATCCGAACACGGGGAACAGTTTGTCCGAGTCGTACTCCTGCACCACCTGTCCCACTGAGTCTATGGCTGTAGTGTACTGGTTGTAGGGCAAGGATGGGTTGAAGTAGTGCAGGGACATAGGATGGGAGGGGTCACCTACAAAGAAAGTAGCACGGCATCAGCATATGGACTCCTTTGCACATGCATTAGGTATTTTCTGCTACACGGCCAAGACATGAAAAACAGTTCACGTCAAAAAATAGGATTTTGACACCGCATACGGAAACCCCGCAGCAATAAGTCGCATATCACTATTATAAAAAATCGCTTAACTGCTACATTGATATTAATCCAGGAATTGCATATTTTTTCACCAGAAAAATGAGGACTATATAAACAAATGCCCCTTTCAGATAACTGATTTAACACTTGCTGTGAATCAACGTAAGCTCAGACAGTTTTGCATTATCATCAAAATAACATGAGCTCCAAATATGAAATGTTACATTTCAAAGACTTTGGATGTGGTTACTTAACTGTTTAGATCATTATTTACTGAACGCATGCAAATATTCCATGCTATTACTCTCCGTTTGATCCAGTAAAGTTGAACACATGCTATTACTCACCGTTTGATCCAGTAAAGTCGATAGCAACAGAGAATCCCAGCTGGAGTCCAGACTGAAGGTAGTGGGAGAATTCCCAGTCCTCTTCTAGACGATAGGACTCCAGAAGCAACACCCCACTGTGCTTATACGAACTCTTCTTAGCCTTTTTCTTCTCATTGATCAGCTAGAAATATCGGTACAATTGCTTTAGTTCAAACCAAACACATATTCAATCAAATCGATTTTTACCAATAAAAAATATTATTGACACAGAAGCGAAGTTGCATTTCGCACACGCAAGCAAAAATATGACCGATAACGCTACTGGGAAAAACTGAAAGATTAAAACTTGAGTCTACAAATCTTCTTAAGTGCCGCACGCCAATTATGAGTCTACATAATTGCTAGGTGACACAAGCCAATTATGACGCATTAGCAGTACCAGTCATTTGAAAAAAAAAAAGAAATTTACCAACTAATCTCCCTCAATTGATAGAGCGGATGCACTTTAACTAGAAAACGAAATAGTTTATTAAAAACATCCGACCCTGCCCAGGTTAAAACCGCCTTTTTTGTTGCGGGTCTAATTCCCTACCTCTACGCTACAGATCCATGATACTTTGAAGCTTAAGTGCTATTTGTAATATAAGCGTCTGTGTTAATATCTCCAGCATTGGCTGTACTTAAAAGCTGGTTATTGATCAAAATGAACTCTTTCAAAATGAACACATTTTGTCGCAAAAAATTTGCGTTGCAACAACATTTGCGACTTAGGTTGAAAAAAAAAAGAAAATTCATACTATAACTCAAGCTTTGAGGGTGTAATGATATAAAATATAACACAGAGGCAAAGCCGAGCTTCGCACCACTTGTGATACAACACAAACATGAAAAAATATGAGTCGACAAAAATGACAAAATGTTGAAAAAAAACTAAGTGAACCAAAATTTTCGAATATATCGATTAAGACAAATAGAGGCTCAGCTAAAGCTAACATTGCATGTTTGATATTTTAAAAATATGTTGTACTGATGCGGGAAGAAATTCAAAAACTGGACTTTGTCCAAAACCTTTTGTTTATCTACCAAAATACCTGAGAACAGTGAAAACTTATGATACTGGAATTTTCTCAAAAACATCAAATTCTTCTAGCAAAAAATTAAGGCGTCATCACTTGTGCAGCAAAAACTCTAGCAACTGGTTCTTTCGATTGAACTTTTCATTTCAGATTTGATAGGGTAGTTTAAAAAAAACTCAAAAAGTTTCGATAAAACTATGAAAAATTGATAAACGTGACTTTCCAAAATCTATGATTTTTTTTCTACAAAAAACAGGTTGCGGCCACTCAAGTAGAAAAATTCCCAAAACCTGGTTTCTGGACTGAACACTTAATGTGAGAATTGGCATGCTAGTTTTCAGGTTAAGTCAAAGAGTTTCCAAAAAAATAGTCGTTTCAAAATTGTGACTCAACGGAAGGCCATTTTCCAAAAAAATTGTGGTTTTTAATTATGGAGGTGGGAATTCAACAACAAGTTGTTTTGATTAAACCTATAATATAATATTTAGCAGGACAGTTATCGAGGGTTTGAAATTTCCGAGAACCATAGCTTTTTGTGTAAGAAACATTGAAAGTAGCCGCGCCGCCTATGCAGAAGAGAATCACGCAACCTGTATTTTCGATGAAACATAAAAACTAGGAAATGGGAAGGTAATTCGAGAAAGTCAAAAAAACTTCAGAAAACGGTCAAAAAACAAAAACGTTGATTTTTCCAAGGGTCAAAACTTTTAGAGTAAACAAATTGGGCGTAGAGGGGCATGACAAAGAAATTCCCACAATTCGTTCTTTGGATTGAGCCCAAAATCGCAGATATGGAAGGTAAGTTTTCGATAAAGTCAAAAAACTTTAAAGAAAAAACTGTCAAAAAATCAAAATTTTGACTTTTCCGAGGGCGATACTTGACAACACTTGCAATACCATGATACTTCCTCACAGCAGAAAAGTCCGTTATGTGGTAACTAAGCTGACAAAATTTGAGCAGACAAATGAAGGTCCGACAAATCGATTTCTACCAGAAAAAAAGTTTCAATTGCATATGTACTAAACAAAAAAGGTCCAGCCGGAATTCGAAACTAGGACCTAAGGGTGCAGTGGCAACCGCGTTAACTCTAGGCAACGTGCGAAAGATCTTGGAAGTTGCTAGGATTCAATAATAAAGCAAGTTGGAAACTTGTAGAAAAAAAGTTGTTTACGGGAAAAAAGCAGAATTCCCGATTATATAAATCATAGTGATAAATCAAAACGAACGAATAAACGAATAAAACTATCAATACCGTGCAATTTCCAATAAACCGATGTAAAATAGGCCGAAACTGATCAACCTGAGAAAAACAGAAAAAACAAAAAGTGAAATTTAAAAAAGACTTAAAAACTAATAAGTTTTTAAAGCCCGATCCACTTCATTACACACACGCACACATTTTTTCCGTTCATTAAATTACAAAATATGAAGCCAATAAGCCGACATAAAACTGGCCGAAACTTATTAAACCGAGAAGAAAAAGGGGAAAAATGAAAGGAAAAAAAATAAAACAAATGAAATTATACAAAAAAAATTGAGTTGGTAAAATTACAACAAACATGATAAGTAAATTTCGAAAAGGACAGATATTCATAAAGCTAAAGTGCTCAAAATATGTCTGTTGCAGTTTCCAACAGAGAGACGACTGCTGCAGTTCAGAGTGCAACGTGCTGAAAATGATGATCTGGAAATTGGAGATTATCCTGTGGAAAAAGTTGTATACGGGAAAAAAGTATATTACCCGATTACAATACCCTTGCTTACCATAAGCGTAATCATCCCCTCATCAAGTAGTTTTCATCCTAAGACTGCGAAAAAAAGCAACTATCAAAATAACTGTTATTTACCAGAAACTCCTTTTTATTAACTTCTGCGAACAGTTCAGCAGTTGTTGTCTCGAAGGATCCAATCAAGTCATGACTAAAACAATAATAGATTCAATTATCATTTAGTTTTAAAATCTAATAAAATTGGTTGGGTAGATTCACAAACTGAATTAACAAGAGAATGTGACCTTTCTTAGTTTTTCACAAATTGCTTCGTCTTTAGTTATACAATCCATTACGAAAAAAAGAGTTCCGGATGAGGGGAAAATCCTCAATTTCAAATACACTCAAGAACAACTTTTCCCACCTACCCTCCGTCCGAGTCAAAGTCAAAGCACTCTATTTTGAGTGGGAGTTGTGCATTATTGTCGCAGAAGGTGGCGCAGTTGATGGTGAAGGGGGGCCAGTTGGGGTTGAGGTCATTGTCCACCACGGCCGTCTGGCCTACAGGTGTGAAGCTGAAAGCACGTCAATCAATAAACTATTGTTAATCCGACCGTTTTTGAAACTGAGAAGGAACTTAGTATTCGGGTGCGTTAATGTTTTTGTTCCGACCATTTGAAAAATGGGGAAGAGCTTTGTATTCGGGTGTTTTAACTTTTTTTCTTTTTGTTTTCAACGCAAAATCAGGCACCACAAATAATCATCGGACTGGGTTGAGTGATATAACATATTAAAGCTCTTTCAGTCGTGATTCGAACCATCTTTAAAAATATCCAAAAGAAATTTTTGATTTTTCGTCTTAATTCGAGCGCATAAAGCAAGCGAGGAGGCTTACAACAGATGAATTATTCCTAATTAAAGACACCCTATAACTTAATTTTAAGCAAGTAAAACTAGTTTTTGAACTTTTTTTGCTTCATTTTGGGAACCAAAAACTTCAAAAAAATCAAAAATTTTCTGCAAATTTTTTTTAAAAGTGTAGTCATTTTTTTACAAGAATTTTTGTCCAATTTGCCTGTATTACAATGACTCTCTAATGTGCTTAAATTACATTTTAACGTCGGATCCTTTTATCACACCAAGCAGAAAAAACTACACTAATTTGGAAAAAAAATCTTTCTGAACCGTAAATTTCTTAAGACCATGGTCGGAACATTCTGTGCTACTTGCACAGTAACCGGCTATCCTTGTTTTCTTTTTTTTGTTTTCCACGCAAAATCAGCTACCACAAACAATCATCGGTGAGAGTTGAGTGGTATATCATATTAAGGCCCTTCCAGCCGTGATTCGAACGACATTGAAATTTTCCAAAAAAATTCCCAGTATTGAGAAAATCTGGTTCTTTGAATTTTGATTTTTGAATTCTTTACGCAATTATATAGTTCTCGAATCACACCAACCACTAAAAACGACACTAATGTGAAGAAAATTTAAAAAATGTTTCCTATTTTTTTTAAGGAATATGGTTGGAACAATCTGTGCTACTTGCACAGCAACCGGCTATCCTTATTTTTATTTGCGCCCACCCCATTTACTCCTTACTACATGGGACTTTACTTCCGTGGGGAAATAGACTTTTTCTCATCTATTTTACGCAAGCCCGTTCCCATTAAGGATGCAGAGGAGACTTCAACCCCTTCAACAGTTACCGAAGTGGAACTCGAAACCACGACCTTTGTGTAAATAGCCCTGCGACCAACCCACTTGGCTACGGCCACTCTCTACAACTAGAGACAAGAGATAACAATTTTTTGGAAAACTGAAAATTTTCGATATTTTCTGTCGTGTTTTTTTTGGTCGTCAATTTTGTTTCTTTTTAGACCAGCAATATCAAGTTCAGCTCAAACCTTCAAATGTATAAGCCATTGCGATACAAAGCAAGAAAGCTGCAAAAAACAGCAAATGTCGAAAAAACTAGATCTATCCAAACTAATCCGGCTATTTTGAAACAGAAACATGCCAAGACAATAGAATGTGAAACACGCATCGGAAAAAAATGCCAAGCAGTGAAAAAGCCAAAAATGCATTAGCAAAATCCATTTATGCCGAAAAAAAGTCAACAAGATTTAAGTTAATAAGTCCCCTTCACCTTCAAAACACAGACACGCACACACAAACTTTTTTTGAAAAAAAAAGAAAAAAAAGCCGAAAAAAACGAAGACTAATAAAAAAATTATTAAGTTCCCTTCACTCTCAAAAAGCAGACACACAAACACATAACTTTTTTCATCCGTCGAAAGATAAATGAAATATGAGGCCATTTAACCGATTAACTATAGGCCAAAACCTATCAAGCGATAAAATAGGAATAGAAAAAAGCCGGAAAAAATTGTTGTCATGAAAAACTATAATTACTATAATAATTTTTAGCATTTTAAAAAAAAAAATTTGAATTTATTATCAACTGAAACTAAATTTACCATTTCAAATTTTGACCATTCTGTGAACAAAATTACCTACGTCAAAAAGCATAGCACCCGATTGCAATACCTTTGCTTCTCGCAAGGGAAAACATAGAAATTCAAGAAAAAATGTCTATTACATGATAAAATAAAACAGATCTTTAGATTATTAGCGAATCATAATAATAACACTAACCCTGTCTCTGTCTGCTTGTGGAAGATCAGGAACGGATCGGACTTTCCGAAGAATCCGTCTTTATTGTCTAGGCCACGTGCAATGAAATTGAAGACATAGCTTTGCTGTTAACACAAAAAATTACATCGAAGAGTTTGTATGATTGGTGATCTCTGCGCATCTTGTACTCTCACTGAGTAGAGTTAATGGAGATCAAGTTAACATCGCAGCCATTTCCAGTCAAATCTTAACAATCTTTCCTGACAAAAAATAGGAAAGGCCTCCGAAATAAAGCTCAAAACTTATTGAAGAAGCGTTCAAGAGAGCGGAAAATTAAAAACTCATAGCATTCGAAGACATCTGTGCCGAGTTGGAATTAAAGATATCTTTAACAGCAAAATTCAGAAGCAAATACGACTTGCCTAAGCTGATAGAGAATATCCAGACCAAGAGAAACAAGATCCCTTTTTCGGACCATGAAAGCCCTGAAAAAGGTCTGACATTGTGGCACACGAGACTGACATAATTTGTCAAAATTAACGCAGACTCTGAAAATCCGCAGATCAGTTGCTGTCTCGGTTTGAGGAGCAAAGATGACCATTTCGTTTCTCTCAAGATATCTTGCGAGAAAGACAAACAACCCAGTTAGAAAAAAGGACTGAGCCGAAGGAGAGCCGGAAACGGAAAGTCGATACCTTTCAAACTGCAGCACAAAACTCGAAGCAGGAGAAACATTGGAGTCCCAGATAGATTAGAGGTTCCGTGCAAGAGAAGAACCTATTCAATTTTATCGTCATCAGGTACTGAAACAAAACTTGAATCTCTTCTAAAATAGATTGACAGAACTGACTTCAGAATAAGCAATAAGATGTTGTTGGCTAAATGCCGCTTAAAATTATTAAGTAGAAAATTTCCTGGTCCTTGAGAAAGAAAAGGATAAGCAACCAGGGCGGGATCTTTCATTCAAGGAAAATCATCTGTAAGAGGTCTCTAAGACCACAAATTTCAGGCAAGTAAATCGTCAGCAATTCACATGCAAGAGAGCACTTGAGCCAGTTATCTCTTCGAAGTTAGATTGACAGAACTGACCTCAGAATAAACAGTTTTATCTTGTTGTCTAAATGCCGCTTGAAGTTTATTAAGTCGAAAATTTCTGAGTCCTCCGAAAACGGATATTCACCCAGGACAAAACTCCAGCGATTCGCCTGCACGAGAACATTTGAGCCAGTGCACTTTAGGTGGATCTTGATAATCAAAAATCTTTAGCAAGAGCATCTGCAACAAATTTTTTTCTAATAAATAACGCAGATAAATGACCAGTCCAAGCTATCAGCCTGAAAGTCTTTCGTTCGAACACCACGAGATCATTCAAGTATTCGCTCAATATCAAGACACCCACCGTATAAATGCGTTCCACTTTTCATTCATGGTATAAAAAAACAGTGAAATCATAACAAATCATAGCATAAGCTGGCCTTCGCATTAGAGCCAAACTGACAAAATGAATGCAACCAAGTTTTATTCACCCTACAGTCGACCGTTTCTCGTGCGGTGACATGTATCTTGGACTTTCCATTGCCCGATTTCTCCAACAGCCTCCCCTGTCTCAGTCGACCTTGCACTACTTCTGCAACAGACACCTTCAGCTGGCCCAGTTTGTCTGCCTTGTCAGGGTTACTCGTAGCGTCATCGCAGTCGTATCTGATCAGAAAAAAGACATGCGGCATATTTTCCGACATAATTTTGATATTGAATCGATATTTGATATCGATAGTGAAAAAAATGCTAGATAAACTTCATGTAAAATCTGGCCCCATAAAAGCTAAGACACCCCGTAAGATTTTAAAATAATAATAATAAATTAAATCTTTCAAGTACAACATATTTCAGTCAAATCATTCGTTTGTAAACTAGCTTCTGACATTGGGACTGGAGCGTAACACTATCTTTGAACTATGAAGAGCCATTTTTTTCCAAATATACTTCAAACGCGGATAAATTTATTGTTAGTGAAAAGATTTTAAGGTAGAAAATTTGTAAAAGATGCAGTGCCAACTAACCGTTTGGCTATTTCCAGTTGCCCCTTTTTTCAGTTGTCCCAAACTGATTTATTTTACATACAAGGAGCGTGAGAAACTGGAAAAGAGCCGCCGTTTTACTTACAGAACTGAAACTTGTTCTATTAGCGGTTATTGCCTCTACTAACTGTGCTCAAGCCCGGAGAACCCCCGAAAATGCACACATCGGCAAAAAAGACGGCAGCAAAAGCTGTAAGACGGGCAAAAATGGGAAAATGCGAAATAAGTCAAAAAAGTGCCTTGAAACAAAACCAATTTCAAACAAGGATAGCAAGTTCCGACCACAAAAAAAAACATAAATTTTTTTGCCAATTGTTGTTTTTGTTTGTTGGGCTAGGAAATCAATATATTCGATTGTAAGAGTATATACAATACACATATCTGACAACGATTTTAATCAAAAAGCTGGTAGAAAACAAAAAAAACTTCGGCTACGGGATCTGAACAGGAACGTCTTGGCTAAGATTCACCAGCCGTGTGCTCTTAATCACGGCGTCTTCGATAGGTCTAGGGCAAAATCCGAAATGTCATTTATCAACTATGTCAAACATTCAAAAATTTACAAAAAAAATATTACGTAATAATTTGACGCAACACTTTCAAAAACAAGAAATAACTCAATTAGCCAGTTTTAATTTAGCCTAATCTCAGTTTCCATTCGCCGGTGCGCCTGAATCGCCGCTGTACGGCGATAACCAGATCCAACTTTCATCTAGAGGTCTACCTTCAAATGGTCTACCTTCAAATAGTCATATAGAGGTCTATCTTTGCTCGCAACGTTGACGCGACTGCTGCGGTCACTATTAGTTCGGCCAATCAGCATTTTCTAAGCGCGCGGAAGAAATCGGATCTTTGCCGTACTTTGTAAAAAATGTCGGATGTTTTCCCTGTTTTTCGGGTGTTTGCATCACGTTTTGGTTTTTCGGATGTTTGACAAATCGAATGTTTGCACGGTACCCGTCTCGATAACACCATTTTCAACCAAAATTCAACTTAAGCTACTTTTGAGGCAAGCTAAACTGAGGCAAGCTTCATATTTCACGAAGTTGAAAAGTCAAACACTGCTAACTTTCAAGGAAAGAAAACAGAAAGAAGTATAAGTATTATCGAATGTTTTCTCAAATGGGCTCTGACCAAACCCCCCCCCCCCCCCACCCCCTATCGCAAATAAGAATCAATTTTATGGTGAAACGAGTGGTTTCACCAGGTAAATTATGAAGACCAAATATGTTTGTCATGCTCGATGTCAATTTTCAAAGCAATCGGACTACGAGAACCAAACTTTTGCTGGTGAAAAATTTGTGCGAAAGGAAATTCAGGGAACTTGGTCCATTGCCTTAGAGTGAAACAACTCATCTGAGCTAAAAAGAAAACTTCGAAAAAGAATGCATATTTTGAATCATTTTAATAGATAAACAAGGTTGGTTCATTACAAAAAATTTACTCACATTTTAAACTTGAGCATCTGCTTGGTTTCAAATTTGTAGGTGACTAGCAGTTTGGTGGTAAACTCAGGATCTAGACAGTTTTCCACTCGCTCAGTGCGTCCGATCTGAAAAAAAAAATTCAATTGATATTGATTTTTTTAGTCGCCAGAAAATATTCCACTGAAACAAACGGCGACAAAGTGCATTCGCTGTTTGAATTCATCGCATCAGTATCAATAGCGCTCGAAATTTTAGCGTTGACAGGCAAAGAAGCAACAAACACTCGGAAAGATTTCAAAAGAAGGTAGTTAAAAATCTAACAGAATAGACATTAATTCGATTTAACTCACTTCCTCGAACTTCCCACTGTCTTCATTTTGCAGACTCAGAATACACACTGAAATATATTCAAAGTAAGTTAGAAAAAATTCAGTTGCTGTCAAAATAGCAAAAAATCTAGCCAGCTATATTTCAGACCGCCTTTACGAAACACGGGAGAAATGGTTTGAAAACTTTTCATCGGAGCTCAAAGCACAATTCAAAATTCAAAATATATGATAATCACTCGAGCCAATTCCTTGCTTATTTTGATAAAGTATTATCAAAAATGGTTTCAATTTTTGTTTTCCCTCTTTTTTTAAGCTAATTTCTTTCGTTGAATATTTATTATCTCCCTTAAAACGCATGAAAGCACGTAAATTTTCACATTGAGGTGAAGCCAACTTTCACAACATTTTGCAATATATCAAAATTCTGAGGAAATAAAAGCTTAATCTTTTGGAAACACTAAAATTTTCTATATCTTCGAGTGAAGCAGAAGATTGACAAAAATCCTTAATCAAACACAAAAATTTTAAATCATCGGTTGAAAAATCTTATTTGAAAAAATCTCATTCTAAATCTCATTTGAAAAAATGAAATCATACAATAATGTTGACACAAAAAGAACTTGAATTATTTTTCAAAGATTGTTATCAGATGAAGTGCCATTTGGAAGCTTCGTACCACTTGCCATATTATAAATATGTTTGGTTTTAAGCGATGCGCGCAAGAAAACTGTACGTAACAAAACCGCTTAACATTTGAAGACCACTAGCTTGAGTGGAAGCTGAAGGCTAAAACTGTATATTCAACAATTTTCAAAGTTTAGGTTTTTCAGGAGTAACCAAGACACATTCATCGAAATTTTAGTAGTTCAAAAAACCAGTTGAACATTTTTTTCGCCAAAAAAATAGAATAATTGTAGTTTTAAAATTTGTCATCAGATGGAAAAGTGAATAACAATAAACTAAGAAATGAAGCGCCATTGATTGATTAATTATAAGGTATGCCAAAATAAATTGGCGAAAAAGGAAGCCAACATGAAAAACGCTGAATTCTTACTAGCGGAAACAAAATGATTTTAACCAACTAAACAATGTCTTCCCCAATTGGTTGATAGAGGAGATTGTTCACTTGGTCCTTAAAAAGAACGGAATCATGAAAAGTTGCTTTTAAGACATTTACGAGTGTTTTTTCGCAGCTCATATCACGACTGGAAGAGTTTTGTAATATAGTACCATATCAGGTGGTACCTGATATGGTAAGAAAAAAACAACATAACCCAAAGTTTCTCCTCCTTTTCGGCGATAGAGACCAAAAATTCTTACTTGGATCTGACTTGGAGCCGAAGTCCGCGTCTCTGAGAGACCTGAAATACACAAGAAGTTTTGAAAAAGTTTATCACAGTTTCATCAAATCCTCCTTTGTCGCTAGGATAATTCAAAAAATCAATTTTATGCATTAAAACATTTTCACCACAACTATCAAATAGATCGTCGCATCCGAAAAGAAGTAATCGACTGCGTTAAACATGATGAGATTTAAAAAACAACAATAAAAAGGTGAGAGCGAATCGATACAGAACCCTCGTCTTATGGTATAATGTTGCAAAAATTTAAAAGTCAAATGATATAAAATGCATAAATGCTTACTAAATTATTTTTATAAGCAGAAAATTAAAACTTACGAGCACTTTATAGAAAGCTCTATTCTAGAGCTCAAATCACTGACGACAGAAGGCGGCATTACGTTCTGAAAAATCAAAAACTAACAGCTAGACTGAACTGTCGAACTATTAAAATTGAAACTACCGGATAAACGCGCATTTTCAGACTATATTTTTCTTGTACAAACGAGAAACAAGTCTTCAGTTATTTGTTCTTTTATGATAAACATAATAAACATGATAAGTAAGTACATTTTAAAAAAAAATTGCTCAATTGGTAGTCAGGCGATTTTTTTTGCGTGTTTTAAGTAGGCTATAGCGTTAACAACAACAATCTGAAACTTACAATCATACAACTAGAAGACAAATAGTAGTAGTTTGCGCAGACCAAGATCACCCTCTGTGGGAAGCGTTCGCGTGTTTGGTTATTAGTATAAAATTAATTTTCTAATTACAAACAGATTAATATCAGATTATTCACTTATTTTTCATTAGTCCCCTTCCTGTATGTGCACAAACTATTTTTGATAATTATATACCAGATTTGTTGAAACACCAACCCTATATCAAAAAATATTATATAGCTAAGTAAGGATAGCCGGTTACTGTGCAAGTTGCACAGAATGTTCCGACCACAGTCTTAAAAAAACAAGGTTTTTTCAAACTATTGCCGTTTTTTTTGGCGTTTTGTGATCAAAGAAGCTGAATAAAAAACTGGAGATCAGGTATATTCCGCAGGCATAATAAAATAAGCAAATTGAAAATTTACTAGAAAAACGAAAAAATCAAAAAAAAAAATTTCGAAATTTTTTTGCAGTTTTTCGAATTTTTGAAAACTTTGATTCCAAACAGGCGCTAAAATGCTCAAAGTACATTAACATTACTCAAGTAAAACTAAGTTTTTACGTTTTAAAATAAGATATTGTAAGCTTTTACACAATAAAAAAAAGACTGCTCGCTCGATTTATTCGCTGGAAATCAGACGAAAAATCAAAAATTTCAAACCGGTTTTTCTCGACACTGGGAAATTTTTTTGAATTTTTAAAATGTGTTTCGAATCACGACTATAAGTCTTTAGTTTGATATATCACTCAACCCGGTCCGATGATTAATTGTGGAACCTGATTTTGTGTGGAAAACAGAAAAGGAAAAAACCAAGACACACCCTATGACAAAGTTCCTGCACATTTTCAATGGTCGGAACAACAAGTACAACTAAAAACCACACTAATTCAAAACCAAATTATTTACTGTAATGAAAAAATGAAAACGACTCAATTTATTTTACTATTTTGTAAATAATGACAGAAGACGATTTTAGTTTTATCTTTCGTAGATATTTTACATAATGAAAATATTAAAAAATGCATAATGCTTAAAAAAGTAGCATCACAGTAAAACAAAATACCCCAGTTTTTCAAAAACGAGAAAAGACCTTCAAGAAAATGTTGATTAATGATAAGTTAAACTATTCCGGAATTTTGTACTTTTTATACTTCTTGCCAGTTTACCTACACAATACCAACATGCGACAAAACAAATGGTGTTAAAAATTTGGATTGTAATTGTTTTACTAAAAAGCAAGATATCCATTTTGGACTTCTCCCACTGATAAGATTCAAAAAACATGTGTCAATATTCACTTTCTGCGTAGTGACGATGCCAGAAAATTTTTAAAAACTTTTGCAGACTACAGCAATCAGAAAGCTTGTTTACATTAACAACTGCCTTTTTGATGAAAGATAACAGTTTAACTATTCCGGAAGTTTTCATTTTTTGACAGTTTTGGCCAGTTTTACAACCCAGTGCTAACATACGACGAAATAAATTGTGTTAAAAGTTTCGATGAATTTTGTTTTACTCATACACCAAAATATTAATTTTGGACTTCTCTCACAGATAAGATCAATAAATATGTCAATTTATTCAATTTATGCCATTGCTAACCAGTGCTAACATACGACGAAATCAATGGTGTTAAAAATTTCGATAATTAATGTTTTACTCATAAACCAAGATAACCATTTTGGACTTCTCTCACCGATAAGATTCAATAAATATGTCAATTTATTCAACTTTTGCTTGGTGAAACCTCAAGAAAACTTTTTAACTCTTTAGCATAAAATGATTTAAAAATTTATTTGAGACTGCAGCTACAAAAAAGTTTGTTTACAGCAACAACTATCACTTTGATGAATGATAACAGAATAAGTATTCCGGAAATTTGTCTTTTTGATAGTTCTTGCCACTTCAACTAACCACTGCTGGCATATAACGTAATAACTGGTGTTATCAATTTGAAAGGTTACTGTTTTACTTAAATATCAAGAAATCCAACTTGAACTTCTCACGCTGAAAAAATTCAACAAACGGGTGTACTTAGTCAATTTTTGCTTGGTGACGACTCAAGTTAAGTGTTTAAAACATTTGATTGGATAGTTTTTTTTAAATTTGTTTGAGACTACAGCTATCAGAAAGTTAGTTTACAGCAAGAATTATCATTCAGATGAATGATAAGTTTAACTATTCTGGAATTAGAGTAAGACACCGAGCAGAAAATATTTCTGAAATTTGATCGCTAGACTGCTACACCAGAACGTCTCAATGAACCACTAAATACGTATTGGACTGCTACCGAGTGGTTCAATGGATTAAAAGACAAAGATGAAAATTCTCTTGTTTCCGGGAATGATTTTAAAATGGCCTTAAAGTCGGCGAAAGGTCAAAATGTTTTTGCACTTAATGATGGTACTTTCTTATTTATAAAATTCCTTGCCAGTTTAACTACCCAGTGCTAACAAATGATGATAAAATTGTTCATTTCTCTACTTGATAAGATATAACAAACTTGTTTTTTCAATTTCTGCTTGGTGACGACTTTAGCAAAAACTTAAAATCTTTTGCATGAAAATTTTTTAAACTTATCTGAGTCTGAGACTGTTGCTATAAAAAAGTTCATTGGTACCACAAAATTTCATCATAATGGGAAGAGTGATATACCATTTTGATGCTCTCAAAAGTTTTTTCAGTGCCAAGAAACTTGGTTCAAATTTTTGATTTTCATTCTTGTTTCTTGTGACGAGCAAACAGAGCGAGCAAGCGGGCGTATAATAGGAGTTATTTAGGAGTTATAATAGGAAATATAATAGGAGTTATAATAATAGGTATTTAAAGCCGCGAAAACTTAGTTGACTCGAGCAAAGTTTTTATCGCCTTCTTAGTAATCAAAAAATTTCACACAGAGGCAAAGCTGCGCTTCGCAAACACTTGCGCGAACACGACCAAAAAGCAGCTCTCTCAATTGAAATAAGAAAAAGTAGAAATAAGCCTCGAATTAGCAAAAACTCGGCTATGTGTAGGATTCGAATCTGCGACCTACTGCAATCAAGAGATTTAGAGTCTTACGCACTATCCCCTCAGCCGCTGAAGCTTAACAACCAACAAACACTAGTCACGAATAAAGCAGCTACATATGCTAACCTATTGCCAAAGCGGTTCAGCACAAAATAAAAATAGACTCACTTTTGCAATTAATAATTTTTGGAATAAAACAAACTGTAGGCAGCCACACTAACTTTGCAGGTAACAAATAGCAAGCATAAAGCCACATTATGTATAAGTATAAATTATGAAAGATAGATTAGGTAAGAAAATTTCTGAAATCGAGTTTTTATCATTAGGATGTTGTTTGAAACAAATAGCTTTTTTCGGTTCAATTGATGAATTAAAAATGCATCAACTGTGTTAACTTATTACAACTTCGAATGTCAAAGCACATGCTATGAAAAAGCTGTAAGGGTGCCCCAAATTTGGCACCAATATTTGCGACTTAGGTTGAAAAAAAGAAGGTTCGTACTAATACACTGGCTTAGCAAAATAGAACAGTGACCATCGAATATGCAAAAATCCAGGCTTTCTTTCAGATCCTTTCATCACACTACGGACAGAAAAGCAACGCAATTTTAAAAAAAAATGTTTTTCTTGTTTTTTTATTACTGTGGTCGGAACGGCATTGGAAGAAACTTATTTGCTTTTATTAAAAAGATTCAAAACATAAGAATTCAATAATAAACCGCCATCCTTTAATAAAGAAATGAAAATACAAATTTACAAAATGCTCAAATTATTACCATCTTTTTCTAAGGCTTTAGTAATCAGAAAATATTTGGCTTCTGAGGCAGACATAAGTTGTAAAACGAGTCGCTTTTCCAAAATGATTGTGGCTTCCATGCGTACACTTGTTTTTTCTTAATATTTTTCAACTCCTCTGCTCCAGTGTAATGAGGATCCAGAATCAGGTATTTAACAGTGGATTCGATAGCATCTTCTTCGTAGCAGATCCCGCAAATTGTGTGTGCTAATACGCCACCTCCAACCTGGGATAGAAACAAAAAGCCATCAATTTTATCAAAATTAGGGAAATACTTGGATGAAACATTTGGCTGATCTATATCAATACTTTCGGACCATACTGAGTAACTGTAGCCAAAAATTTAATTGAGTTGTTTTGCAGCTCAGCTAGAATTTTGAAGTCTTTCAGTGTGTTATTGGATCAGTTCAATATTAAAACCCTCTTTTAACACAGAGGCGAAGCCGACAATGATTTCATTCAGCCAAAAACAGCCCCTCTAAGCCACACATAGAGCAAAAAACAAAATATGCTATAAGAAATGATTTAATACTTTGAACTTTTGCAGGACAAACTATTTGAAACTTTGATCAATCAATTTTTGCCCTTGAAGCAACACAAATCAAGGCAACTAAGCCGAAACATTATGCCGAATGAAGCTTTTAAGCGAAACAAAAAAAGAAAATCAACGAAGACAGGGCTATTAATTCTATAAATTACAAGAATACATCAAAAACACTTGCATTTATGTCGAAACTTGCTGACGACACGAGAAAAACTTAGTGTGGTAAGTAAGCAGAAAAAACATAAGCAGACAAACAAAAGTCAGACAATTCAATTTTTCCAGGATTTTTTTAAAATTTCATACATTTTAAAATGTATGAAAAGACAAGGTCCGGCCAGGCCCGAAACCCGTGCCTAAGGGTACGGAGAGAACCTGTAGGACAAGAGGTGAGCAGTCTCAAAAATGCTAAGGTTCACTAATAAAGTTGACTTCAATTTCAGATGTAAGAAAATTTTCTTACGTGAAAAAAAAGTCTCAGTTCGCGATTAACAGATATTTGCTTTGGCAAGTGCATTAATTAGACCCTAGCGCATGACTCGCAACTCCGCTCCTTTTAATAGATTGTTGAGAGTGAAAAAAAAACTTCTGTAAATATAAATGAAAAAAAAAACGATAATTAATGCAACCGTTAAATTAAATTGGGCCCATTCATCAGGGTGTTCTAATTCATTTATTGAAGGATTTAAAATGAGGCAATTTTTAGGTTTTTTTATCAATCTGATTATACCTTCGAAACTACAGACTTTCATCGGGTATCTGAATTTTTACAGGTCCTTAAAATGTCCAACAACATTCAGTAGCTTGTTTTGTAATTATGAAAATGAATCAAATGTTAGAACGACAGATTTTTAAAAAAAAACATTAGATTACCAAAAAATTTGAAAAAAAAATCATTAAAACTGTCATCTCGCAAACTAAAATTGAAAATTTCAAATAGCAATCAAGTTGGAAAATTTCAAGAACATCCTAACAGCATCAAACATGTCGAGAAATTCAATTTTAATAAGTTTTTGTTTACACCTAAAACTTTTGAAAACACAAAGCAAAAAATAATAAACAACGTCATATCTCGGCTGTTTAAAGGTTTTGATCAATCCTATTCGATGGACGGTAGTTTGTGCAACCCAAGTGTGTACCCTAACAGAACTCCACAATAGAGCTAAGGGTTTCCGTTCTGCTAGTTTTTGAATCAAAGTTTTTGAGAGCATTTAATACACAGAGGCGAAGCAGAGCTTCGCACCACTTGCGATACGTCAAAAATAGAACGGCAGCTAGCCAAAAAAAATGGACAAAAACCTTTGATTTGACAAAAAAAGTTACATTATTTCGAAGGTGGTTGATTTTGAAAGAAAATACTGATAAACACAAATGCCAGTGTGAAATAAGTCTTGAGAAACAGTATTCATGAAACGATACCTGAACAGACAACACTTGGGTAGACGACAAATGACCCGAAAACAATTGCTGTAAGAAATTTGGAGCAGAAAAAATCTTAAACTGCCGTTTTTCACACCCCCTTTCAAAAGCACAAAGGCAAAAAAAATGCTTTGGCCCGTCAAACAACAAATTATGAAGAAAATAAACAGATGTTACAGCCGATACCATTTAAGCTGAAGAAAACAAAAAAGAAAACGAAAACAATCAGCGAAAAAAAAACATTGAGAGTGGTTTAGAAAGCAACAAAAAATCGACTGAAAGGGCCATTTAAAAGGCAGACATGCTCCGAAAACTCATTTCTGGGCCTCCCATTAAGACAGACAACAACTGCTTCAACTGATTTAGTTAAACTAGTTGTTAACCTGAAAAAAATCTACATTCGGATTTGATAACGCTTGCTAAGACAGGCGATATCTCGCAAATCAAAAGAAACTGAGCAGTCAAATTTGGAGGTCAGTTTTGCATCCCCATAGTGTACTCTGATAAAACTCCATCAAAGGAAACAAAACTTCAGGTTGGTTAATTTTTTTAAAAGAAAGTTTCTTGAAAAAATCATAAAAAAACCGTATCTCGGAAACCATACAAAATTGAGCAGAAAAACTCGGATGCAACTCCAGAGTGAACCCCGACAAAACCATAGGAATGAAAAATTTCAACTTCAAACACAAAATTTGTTAAAAAAACTTGAAAAACCATAAACGCCATCTTAGAAACCAAAGGCTTTGATAAAAAAACTTTGGGGGCCAGGTTTGCTAACTCTCAGTGTATTTCGACATAGCCCATTCACAGTATTGCCAAATTCAAAATTTATTAACTTTTTTAAAATCAAATTTTGTTGAAAAAAAAAGAAAAATCATAAAAAACGCCATATTTTGGAAACCAAAAGAATTTGAGCAATATTAATTGAAGGCTAGAAAAAAATCCTGAGGGCACCCTGACAGCACCACTCTTTAGATTTTCCTATTTCAAATAATAATTTAGACGAAAACCTTTAAAAAGTTTGCAATTCGAAAAAAAACGGCATGTGACGTGAAACGCCAATTAAATAATAGACAGATAGATAACCGTTTTTTTCTCTTAGTTTTTGATCATACGCAAAATGATCAAACAAACCTTTCGAAAGCGTACATTAAAGCAGCAATACAATCAAAACAGCAAAATACGATAAAGAAAAGGAAGCCGATTTTTATGATAAACTAACCTGAAAAATTACTTGAATTCAGTTAAAACCACTACATCTATAAACAAGGATATCTGGTGGCTGCGCAAGTACCACAGAATTTTCCGAACATATTCTAGAAAAATACAAAAAATGTTTTTGAAGTTAGTGTTTTATTTAATGTGGTGTGATAAAAGGCTCTGAAAAAAAAAACTGAAATTAACGTGGTCTCGACAGTCACTGTAATATATGCAAAGCAGGCAAAGATCTTAGTGAAAAAATGACAAGAACTATAAACAAAAACCAAAAATTACTTTTTCAATTTTTTTTTGCAGAAACTGTTTTGAGCTTCTGAAGTATTTTGGGCCACAAATGACGCTGAAAAAAACTTCAAAAAATCACAACCATTTCAAAAAATATTTATGGCTTATAATTCTATAAAAAACTTGCTCGTTTGCTTTAACCGTTCAAAATAAAACTAAAACTCAAAACCTTTAATTGAGTTTTTCTCCACACTGGGACAACTTTTCGAAAATTTTTTGAAGTCGTTCGAATGAGTGGAAGGTCTTTAAGAAGATGCATCACTCGACCGATTCCAATGATTATTCGAAGCAATTTTCCGGCTGAAAACCAAATAAGCCTACTCGCTCACCTTATTCGGTCAAAATTAGACCAAAAATTCAAAGTTTTGAACCGGTTTTTCATGACAATGAGAACACTTTTTCCTGAGAACAAGTTTTTTGACATCGTTTGAATAACGAATGAAACGGCTCTAATTTGATATATCACTCGACCTCCGATAATTGTTTGTGGTACCTTAGTTTGCGTGGAAAACGAAAAATACCCACAAGTTTGCATTGCGAAAGAAGCAAAAAACTACAGCTAAAGCATCCATGATTCATCAGACGTTTGGTTAGAATCACGGATAACATTGGAAAGCCAAACAATTTCTTAAGCATTACAATATGCGCTTTAACTTAAGCGTGCGAAACTCTTGCTTCGCAACACTTTCAATACAATCAAACCACAGCAATACACGATATTTAGAAAAAGAAGCCGTTTTTTATTGAAAAAATTGCCTGAAAAAATTACTCTTGAATTTGGTAAAAAAACTACATGTATAAACATAAAAACAAGGCTAACCAGTTGCTGTGCCAGTAGCACAGAATGTTGTGACCATATTCTTAAACAAAATATAAGTTTTTTTTCATGCTTTTTTCAGCTTGGTGTTGTTTTTTTACTGTCTTGTGATAAAAAAGGATCTGAAAAAACCTAAAAATTAGGTCTATTTGACAGTGACTGTAAACTATGCAAATCGGGCAACAAGTTTTGTCAAAGAATGAGAAGAAAAAATTCTTTTTTCGATTTTTTTTGCAAAAACTGTTTTGAACTTTCGCAGTTTTTAATACAAAAATGACGCTGAAAAAACTTCAAAAATTACAAACTATTTTACCAAAATTTCGTGGCTTGTACTTCTATATTAAGCCTGCTCGCTTGCTCTAACCGCTCGAAATTAGTTTAAAAAAAAACAAATTTAGTTTTTCTCGGCATGGGGGACAACTTTTCGAAAACATTTTGAAGTCGTTTGAATGAGTGGAAGGTCTTTAATATGATGAATTACTCGACCCATTCCGATGATTTTTTGCGGTTATTTTTTAGCTGAAAATAAAATAATCCTGCTCGCTCAACTTATTCGCTCGAAAGTACACAAAAAATTGAAAATTTCGAACAGATTTTTCCCGACACTGAGAACACTTTTTCGAAGTTGTTTGATATTGTTTGCATCACGACTGAGAGGGCTTTAATTAAACTAACACCCGAATACAAAATTCATCTCCATTTTTCAAATGGTTGGAACAAAAAGATGTTCATATACAGCCTTAAAAATCATTGAGAATCAAGGAACGAGCGGAAAAGATTCGGTTGATCCTCGTTGGGTTGATCCAGTTTATATTGCGTATATTGAAGGACGAACAATTTTAAATGCTTAAGCGTGTTTCAGGAGGGATGGGCTGTAAAACTCAAAATTTTTACAACCTATCTCTCCTGAAACACGCTAAAGCATTTTAAAAAATTTTGCCCTTGATTCTACGCAATATAAGTTGACAAAGTCAATCTAACACGAGCTGAACCCATTTAACCGAAAAAAAATTCGAAATCAGAGTTGGTAAATTTACACACTACAAGAACAACTTTAAATTATAATAAAAACGATTTGAATCAAAAATAAAAAACCCAAGCACTGGAAAGAAACTGCTTGAAAAGCGTACTACATAAAATAGTGCTTTCAAACAAACGGAAAAACAGCCGACAGAAAAGTAGGATGAAAACCACAAATCTGAAGAAATTTTTCAAAAATTGTATTTGAAAAAACTAATGACTACCAGCTTTCAAGAATTTGAGCATGTAAACTTGTACGTTTTGGACATGAAACTAACTGCACTAACAGCACGTACTTCTTATAGAATATATAAGAAAAAACTTTTAATGACAAAAGTATGGTTTCCGATTACAAGTCAATAGTTCTCGCAAGTGAAATAAAAGTCCATGCTTACCATTATGGGAGTCCCGTGATTTTTGAAATGAGATGCGATTCGTTGGGCATTAGAGACTATTTGGTCGCCAGATTGCACGTTGATGAATGCACTTGTGATATCCAGGTGGTGGTCCAATACGTAACTGACCTCAAATGACCCGATCCATTGAGAGGAGCCGACGAAGGATGCTGGCTTATCGCCAATTTTGTGCAGGGTCTGCTGGATTTCTTTGTGCCTGTTTAGAAATCCGTAAATTTAAATTTCAAATTGATGAATGAAATTTTGTTCCAGAGTACTAACTCCGACAATGGGTACAATCACATTCTTGATGTATTTTTCAATATTTTCAAACATTAATTAGCTTTCATCATTTTCTAAAGAGCTTTGCTCTTGTACCAGTAAGAAACTAAATCACTTTTCATTGCAACACCCCTGTGAAGGCAACTATACTGCTTCCGGAACTCTTCCAAAAACTACTCGCAAAAATAGCAAATACTAGCAAATACAGAAAATTTAAATTTTTACAAACCACAACCAAAAAAAGCTTCAAACTTTTAAAACTTAAAAGCTTCAAACTTTTAAAGCTAATTACGTAATGACTGGTTTGTCAGTGTAACCCTGAAGGAGGAACCAACTCCAGACTGTCTGAAGGGACCTGTAAGCACATCCCCATCCACTGTCGCTCATCCCCTCCTGCAAGTAGTGGAAATAAGCATACTTCCCCTTAACAGTCTCACAAACTGAGTCAGCTTGGTAGTTGCCTACTGTTGAAGTTGCTGTCGCTTTAGGTGGTGGAGTAGTGGACTCGTCGAAAATCAACTAGAACAATTCATAATTCCCTCGGAGAAAAAAAGTAGAAAAACACCAAAAATCAATTCACGAAACAAGCAGATTCTCAAACAAGAAAAACTCTTTGAAATTTGAGAGCAAATTATACGTCCTCGTATTCTGTTTTTTTTGATAGACACTTTATTAGGCCTAACTGCGAAAAAACGACCAAAACTGTTATAATCGACCCGCTTTATGTTGTCTTTATTAAAACAAATGCTGCAGCAGAAACACAATTGTTCAAATCAGGGGCGCATCCAGGAATTTCTCGAGCAGGAACTTTCGGAAAATTTGTTGACCTTTTTGATGTCGACCAAATTTATTTTCTTTTCCGAGATTATTTCCAAAAATTGGTTTGCTGCCAGGCAATTTTTGGAAAAAAAGGTCAAAAATGCCGTTTTTGAGCACTTTCTGTTATTTTTTAAACCAAAAAAATAGTGTTTTTATTTCGGCTCGCGTTCTCCTTCAAAAATATTATAGGTTGACGCCGAATTTCAGATGATGGACAAAATATGATAATTAATTTACCTAATGTATTACCTGTGTTGAGAAAATGGGTTTGAACTTGATAGCATTCTGTTTTCTGAAGACGGGACGATTTTTCTCGATTCCATACATTTCATGCAGATTCTCTCGCACCTTCAAAGCTAACTGATCGCTCTCTTTTACTTTAACTGGAAGTATTTCAGTCACTATTCTAAGATACAAACTTTTGTCATCGCTTGAAGTCTTGTTGGATTGCATTGGTGATAAATCGAAGTGATAAGGGTAAACTGGTACTAAAACGTCCTCACTTTTCTTCCCAGTTTGGCCATTCTGAAATTGAAGTTGGAAATTGCGCTGCATTTCGACATGCGTGATGAGCATCTGTTTCAATTTGTCTGCGGTGATTGCCTCACAAGAAAGAATTTCTAGCATATCAATTGGAAATTCGAACTGATGGAATGTTGTTTGGTCTGGAGTTACTTTTTCTGTGAGCACTGGAGCTAAATAGATATTGGATTTCAAAGTAAACATTTTGAGAATAGGCCATCCTCCCCCATTATGAAAACTCAGGGTACATATGCAAACGTTTTCATTTGTTGTGACTAACTAAACGCGGTTTTATTGTTCCGACCATTAAAAATGGGGAGAAACTTTGTATTCGGGTGTTTTAATTTTTTCTTTTTTTTTGGTTTTGTTTTCCACGCAAAACCAGGAACCACAAATAATCACCAGACTGCGTTGAGTGATATATCATATTAAAGGCCTTTTAGTCGTGATTCAAACCACATTAAAAATATTCCAAAATTGCTTTCTAGAGAATTTTTGATTTTTCATCTGAATTCGACCAAGTAATACAATCGAGCACGATTATTTATGCTTAATTTAGGCCCTTTTTAATAGCTTATTGTTCCGACCATTTGAAAAATGGGGAGGAACTTCGTATTTGGGTGTGTTTTAGTTTTTTTTGTTCCCACCATTTTTTGTTCAGACCATTTTGTATTCGGGTGTTTTAGTTTTTTTTCACGCAAACAGGTACCACAAATAATGATCGGACTGGTTGAGTGATAAATACAATATTAGAGCCCTTTCAATCGCGATTCGAACGACATTAAAACTGTCAAAAACTTTCACTATGTCGAGAAAAAACCGGTTTGAAATTTTTGATTTTTGGTCTAATTTCGACCTATTATGGTGTGAGCGTGTAGGATTACAATAGCTTATTCAAGTTTACTTTAAGCCGTGAAAACTTAGTTGTACTCAAATAAAAAGAGTTTGGGAGTTTTTAGCGCCATTTTGTAAGCAAAGGTTTAAAATTCCAAAAAATTTTGGAAAAAGTTTTGAAAATTTTTTTTAAACTTTGTTTACATTTTTTTCGTTTTTCCAGTCATTTATTTTCAAAAACTGTTTCCCGAATAGAATTTTTACTATGAATGTAAAATATACCTAAGTTTTTTTTGTTCAGATCTTTTCTACCATGCGGAAAAAAACTACACTAATTTGAAAAAAAAAATGTTTTTGTATTTTTCTAAGACTGGTCGGAACTTTCTGTGCTACCTTCACAGTAACTGGCTATCCTTGTTTCGTGTTTAATATTAATCGACGAAAATTGGTTTTTGGAGATTTTTAATGCCCTTTTGGGAATCAGAAAAAAAACACTAATTTGAAAAAAAAAATCTCTTGTAGTTGTTTAAAGAATATGGTCGCAACATTCTGAGCTACTTGCACAGTAACCGGTTATCCTTGTTTGAATGAGGCTATGAACAATATCAAGGGGTCAATGACAATTTTTTAGAAGAAAGTCTCAAATTTTTGCATTAGATTTATCCTTCAACCCTGATAGAAACCAAATTGATGAAATCTCACATGATTGTAAGCAGGGGAGGATCTAGGATTTTCTCGGGGGGTTTGTAAGGTGTTGTCCAAAAAAATGCAATTTTTCACCGCATGCTCCAAAGTTGGCGCCAAAAAGTAGAGGTGAGAAAACCGAATCGAATGACCCGAACCCAAATAATGAAAACCGAACCGAATCGAACCGAAACAAACAAAAACTATCTGAACCGGATCGAACGGAAAGGACCTTCTGAATTTTTCTGGGTCGTCTTGGGGCAGCAACTGCAAGTCTGAAGCACTGGAGGAAATCACATAACAGTACGACGAGAGCCTTTCGATCGAAAGTCTTTGTTATTTTGTGTTTCTACATGAAAACTTAATTTTCTGTATACTGTTCTAAGCCATTCATTCTTTTGCTCCTAGCCTTTCTTTTTAAAAAGCGAACCGAATCGAACCGAAATTAGCAAAACCCGAACCGAAATTCTTTTTGAGCAAGCCACTCACCCCTACCAAAGAAGTCTCACCGGTCTGACTATCAAAATTTTTGTCGTAAAATATTACGAAAATATTACGAATCCCTGATTGTAAAGTAGCGAATGTGAAAATCTGAAGGCTCGAACTCTTCACAACTTACCTTGCAACTTGATTTCGTCGTCATTTGATATCTGAGATATAAACCTTATCGCTACATCGACTTCAATCAGCGGAAGTCCCAGCAGCACTTGTGATTTAAGTGTATCGATAAATTCTTCGGACAATTTCTGAACACTATTGAAACATTGCGACACTAGACAACGATCTCCACTCGCATTTCTAACAAAAAAATTCAGATCTAACTTCTCGTTGATTTTGCTGTTAAGTGAGTCAAAAATCTCGTTAACTGCCGTCTCCGTAGATTCGTCTGGAGTATTGAAGTGAGATTCTTTGAGACATCCGGTTAGATGAAGTAGACATCTCATTTCCTTTGGCACAACCATTCCTCAGGCTGGTCTGAAACTATTTCAAACGCTGATTTTTCACTCACCTTCACTTTATTTCTACAGCAATCTTTTCGCTTAAAATTCTGATTGATGTTTAAAATCTTTGATCTTTTCAAATGAACTGATTTGCGAATCAACAAATATTTAAGCATTATTAAAAATTTTTGTTCATGCCACTTTATTCAGAAATTGTTTGAACCAATTCAGCTTATGATGTAACTGAACAGAATAGCTGTTTGCTGCGCAACTAGCACAGAACTTTCCGGCCACAATAAAAAGTTGAAACAGAAAAAGGAATGCTCAAAAGTTCAAAAATTAGTTTTACTGGAAAAAAACTAACATTTTGTCCTCCTATTATACGCCTGCTTGCTCTCTGCATCCGCTCGAAAAAACAAAATGCCAAACCCGCTTTTCTCGACACGGACAAACTTTTTTAAAATATAGTTTGAATCACGACTGAAAAAGCTTTATCTGATATACCACTCGACCCATTTTGATTATTATTTATCGTACCCGAGTTTGCCATCGAAAGAAATTTAGAAACCTAAACACACCCAAAAACAAGAAGCTCATAGTTAATGCAATTTGAATAAAAATATACATGTCCTCGAAATGCAACTCAACGTTTTTTACCTCACAGACGACAATCTAAAACTTTTAAGCAAAAAATTGAAAAAACTAATACCCATAAAATACAAAAAAAATGGCTACGCTCGGTTCATAATTATTTGCAGAGGCCAAAAGGAGTTTTTGCATTCTTAGCAATACAATGAGAGAAAAAATTATCATAAGAAGGTCAACGATTCTGAAATGGCAGAAATAACTGAAGCAAAACGCCATAGGCTTTTTCAGTAACATCGGAAAAACGAAATCCGCAAAAACTATCAAAATTTAATCCTAACAAAAAAACACACTGAGGAGTCATTAAAAAGTTACAATGAACACATTTTAATTATTTAATGTTATCGTTGGGATCCACTTTCCTTAAAAAACTTGAAAATTTTCCGATACAACACAGACGCATAAAAACATTACGTCAAAAAAAATTTAAGATGTTGAAAAAAAACGAGGTGAACCAAAATTTTCATATGTCTGGATAAAAAACAACTAGAGACCCAGCTAAAGCTAGAGGTACGTGTTTGACATTGAATGAATTTGATATACAGATGCGGCACGAAAAACGTGATTTCAAAAATTGGACTTTGCCTAAAACCTTAGTTGTTTCTCTACTAAATTAAGTGGAGTAAGAAATTTCAATATAATCAATTTTCCCAAGGTAATAACAATTCTGTTACAGAAAATTAGCGACTCGCCGCTTCTGCATGAACAATTATCGCAACCCGTTCTTTCAACAGAACTTTTCATCTCAGATTTGATTGAGTAAATTTTAAGAAGTTCAAAACATTTCTAACAAACAGCTAAAAGTACTAAAAAACGGTCAAAAGACTTTCCAAAATTCATAAAGTTTTCTGCAAAAAGTGGGTTCTAGCCGCCTAGCAGAAAAAATTCTCGAAGCCGGGTTTCTCGATAGAACACAATCTGAAAATTGTAGTTTTCGCGTAAAGTCGATAAGTTTCCAAAAAACAGTCAAGGTTTCAAAAAATTGACTTGTAAATTTTTCTTAAAGAAACTCGGCATAGCCAACTATAATGGCAGGCTTTTAAAAACTGATTCATTTGATTAAACCTATAAAATTAGATTTGGCAGGATAGCGAGAAAAGTCCGAGAAACGGTCAACAAATCAAAAATTTGACATTTCCGAGAATCATAGCTTTTTGTGTGAAAAAATTTTGCAGAGCCGTTATGCAGAAGAGATTAACGCAACCTGTAAGTTCAGCTGAACCGAAAATCTCAGATTTGGACGGGTACTTTTAAAAGTCAAAAATTTTCAAAAGAAAGGTCACAAAATCAAATTTTTTACTTTTCCGAGGGCCAGAACTTTTGTCAAAGAAACTTGGGCGAAGTAGCATAAAAAATGACTTTTCCACAACCCGTTCTGAGAATTGAACCCAAAATTTCAGGGAAGGCAGGGTAGTTTTCAAGAATATTTAAAAAAGTTTAAATAAACGGACTTTTCAGAGGGCGATAACTTCCTGATTAAAACTTTTTGTTTGTCTCGCTCATGCAGAGGAGCTTCCTACTACCCGTTATCTCATTGAACCCACAATATCAGATTTCAGAGGTTAGTTTTCGAGATTCACAAAACAGTCAAAAATCAAAAGTTAGACTATTCCGAGGTCCAAAACTTTATGTGTCGAAAACATTGAGCGTAGCCATTTATGCAGGGGAGCTCTCCAAATCTGTTCTATTCATTGAAATTAAAAACTCATAATTAAGAGGAGTAGTTGTCCAGAAAACAAAAAAAAGTCTAAAAGATGGGTCAAAAACTCCCACACATTATTTCGAAGGCTGTAGACAGAGGGGTCAAGAACAGAAAGACTCAAGGGGAGTATGCATCACACAGGGGAGTAAGCAGTCTTTCAATTGATAACCCTTTATTGAAAATCAGAAAAATTTTCTGAGAAAAATTAAAACTTTTGCAAAAAGAGAAAAAATTTTCTCAAACGAAAAAACGAAATTTCAACAAACCGATTGGTAAACAAACAACCAACTTTAAAAAGCAGAGGGGCGTGTTTAAAATGTGTTTATCTTGAAACGGCCCAAAATTAGATCATTGAGCCCATGAAAAATAAGCCGAAATATTATAGGTCGAGGATTTTTTTTAGCGAAACAAAAAAACAACGAAGGAAATACGGAGTCAAGATAAGTAAAATTACAAACTATAAGCGTAAATCAAACACTAAAAACAATATTAAAGAAAATTGCGCGTAGAACAAAAAAATACAAATTTCAAGGTATGACAACTAAGCCTACAACAGATAAGCAGGCAAATAATTGGCCGACAATTTTATTTGAAACAGCATATTTCCCGTTTAAAAAAAAACAGGCATATTCGTTACCGCCAAGCTAATTTGGCCAGGAGCGCAAAGAAATTTGTATAGATTATGAAACAAGGTAGAGATGATTCCAGACGACCAGATGAGTCCTGTGGACAAAGTTGTTTACGGGAAAAAGTACCACCCGATTGCAATACCCTTGCGTATAATTTTTTTGCCGATTTTAATTGTAGGGTAGCACATGTGAAACTAATTAATAAAGCCGACCACAAACTGAGTAATCAAAAATGTGATTTTAACTGAGAACATTTTGCTCGTGGACATCATTTTAGCAAAAAAAAACTACCAAAGTTAGGAAAACCTAGTTTCAACGGTAGCGTAGACTTCTACTGTTGCATCGTTGACTTCGAATCAGTTTCGAAAAAATTTCCACATTTGAACCTGTTAGCTTTTTGTATCCCTTGCACGGCAGACAGATCACAACCAGACTATAAGCATAGCCAAAATACAGTTGGAAAAGTCTGAAAGAACAAAACCTATTCAAAAAAATTAAAATGTTTTAGATTTTTGTTTCAAATATCTGATTTTGAAGAAAAAGTATCACACTGAATTCTTTGAAATTCAAATACAGTTATTGATTTGAAACTCGTTGATTTAGCTATCGCAATTAGAGAAAACTGGATACATAGGTAATTTTTTTACTCCGCTGGAATTCATAATTTTTGAAACTAGAAGTTATTCACGTTTTTTTGTGACCTTTTCCTTTTGCTGTTCAATAGTGGAGTTTCCCTTCCTTTAACAAAGACAAAAAATGAAATTTACAAAAATCATGAATCAAACCGCGAGAAATCATAAGCGTGAAAAATTCATGAGCGTGAACAAACTTGGAAACTTTTTCCTGAAAAAAAAAACATCACCAAGCACTATATATGAGCAAATCACTTCACTATTTTCCACATAATAAACCAGCACAATTACCTGAAAAAGACACCCTGATCTTTTTGAGATATCGGAAAAACCATTAACCAATTTTCAGTAGAGTTACCTGATAAATAACTTATACACAGTGACGAAAAACATTCTTACATATTACGCAAACTATTAAAGAACGGAGACAACAAATGAAAAATTCATATAAACTGGCCAGAAAACATCTCGAATTTCAACCTCAGAAATTACAATCAAAACTCAAAGCGGAAAGAAAGTTTGTCTGTAAATAACGAACAACTCAAAATAAACATTCAAAATTTCTAATTCAGAAAAAAAATAAGCACCAATAACTTAGCAAACACTTATAACTTGCTGATATCTTTTCTGCATATTAAGTTGTTCGAATATCAACAAGAATTAGTTATTCATGTTGATATTCAATCAACATAAATTGCCAAAAAGAATCAGTTCGGAAATTGAAGATCGAAAAGCAAAAAATTATAAAACAAAAAATCTCTTATTAATAATTTAAACTGTGAAACATATTTCAATTTAGTTAAGACCGTGTGAATCACAAAATAAAAACGAGTTGAAGCAAAGATTAGCAAAACTTGCGATCAAATCAAAACATTGCATTATATTACAATATCATATAATGCAATGTTTTGATTTGATCGCAAGTTTTGCTAATCTTTGCTTCAACTCGTTTTTATTTTGTGATTCACACGGTCTTAACTAAAATTTTTTGCAAACCTTGATTTTTTTTTATTTAAGCTGAAAAATTAGCTTGAAATACCTAAAAAAAACCTCTTAAAAAGTTCTGAACTTTGTCTCGATTAATGTTCGTAAACAGCTCTAACAAATATTGATAACCAATGACCTAGTGGAATTAGCTGATCCGGTTTAACCAAAAAAAAATGAATAAAATTTTTTCTAAATCAGAGTTAGTTACAACGGAATGGTTTGGTCCGTTGTAAGAAGAGAGAACTATACAAACGTATGGAACGTTAGCGAATTGCGCATAACCGACACTAAATGTCTTTAAAAAATAAGAACCGAACAACAAAATGAAATTTGAAAAAGAAATACCAAGTTTTACACCGAGGCGGAGCTGAGCTTCACGCCACTTGCAATAAAACAATTATAAAATGAGTGCATCATGACGCTAACAAAAATTAGCAAACCAAATTTCGAACTATT